TGGTTGCATTTTTTTTTGCTATATTTTTTTAAAATTGGATATGATGTAGAGTAGACATAGATAAATCAAAAAAGTATGTGCAACATTTTTTTTTTCATACGTAAGGGGGGTTGCCAGCCGTTTCAAAATGGCCGCCATTTTTCCTAAAATTGTCACTAATATTGTAAATTTATGTCATTAAAATGCAGTATTCAATTGGAAATCCACTCATAACAATGACAGCAACAGTTAACTAAATATTGTACACATTTTTGAGCTATTAAAATTTAAAATGGCTGCCATTTTCCATTATTTTAGCTTTTTAGAATACATATTAATATAATAACCGACCTGTACAAAAACTGTGATAGAGCTAGTTATATGCAATTGCCATATGCTGTTATTATCATTACCATAATATATATATATGGTATATATTTATATATATATACATACATACATACATACATACATACTGCTGGAAAACAACAATCAGCAATAGCTATATATATATGTATATATATATTTATATATGTATATATTATATACGTATATATACACATATATGCATATACATATATATTGAAGAGTGGGTTTGCATGTATGCTCCAAGTAAAATAAAATGCTAATTTGAAACCGGACTCATTACTAGTCACTATGGACGTTTGCTCATTATATACGAACATCCCTCACAATGAAGGTATTGCTGCTTGCAAAGAATTTCTTCGCACCTATGCTCCATTACAACCTATCAATGATATATCTACAATGATTGAATTCATATTAACCCATAATCATTTTGAATTTAATGGATGCCATTATAGGCAAAAAAATGGTACTGCTATGGGTACAAAGATGGCTAACCTCGAAAACATGATGTTATCGAGTTTTGAATTGAAACCATCATACTATTGTAGATATATTGATGATATATTTTTTATTTGGGAGCATGGTTTAGATAGTCTTAGAGAATTTTCTAATCACTGCAACTCGTATCATTCGAGCATTAAGTTTACCATGGATCATTCTAAGTCCAATTTACCATTCTTAGAGGTATCTATAAATTTAGATAATGGTAACATCACCACATCAGTACACATAAAACCCACAGACAACAATCGATACCTCGACTACAGAAGCTCACACCCTATGAGTCTTAAACGATCGCTCATCTACAGTCAATGCCTGCGTCTCAAACGAATCTGCTCATGTCCATCCGACTATAACAAACACATATCTCTTCTCACTGGCAAGTTCATGTCAAGTAACTACCCATTAAATATAATAAAAACCCAGATTAAAAAAGCCTCACGTAAATCTTGCACAGATCTTCTCACATATAGACCTAAATTTAACAATGATCGGCTACCTATGGTATTTGACTATAAAAAATCACTTTGGGCACCCACACCACCTCATCTTCCATACTTATAAATGATTGCAACCACCATGCTCTGATTGCAATACTGTAGTCTTTAAACTTGGTATCAACTCTCTTGTAAATTGGTGTAAATGTTGTAAACTCAAGTTCAATATAAGCAAATTACTTCAGTTACATGCTTCAGGAAACCGAATAGTTCACTTTAACAAGACTGAAAATTGAAAGGTCTAACTCAATACAGATTCGGATCTATAAAATAGACTCACTTGGGATGGCCAGTTGGACTGATTGAGAGACTCACTTTATTTGGAACTCATACAAAACAAAACAATAGAGGACAAAAACATTTATGACTTTTTAAGAAAAAATGAATATTACATTCACATTACACTGGAACCAGAAAATAGTTGTTTAGCAAATTGTTCTCACCTGACACAGTGACATTAAAGGAGCAAATTGCTTGGTTACCATGTGGATCAGTAGCAGTGTACACAACAGTTGTAGTTGTCAAACCAAACCCATCACCAGAATCATGTGTAGAAACCAAGGTAACATTCCCTGAATTATCTGTGGCATTAAGAGCTATCCATGTCACATTAGCATATGGTAACATAGCAGTAGTATTCACAGTAATTTTACTAGGACATCCAATGATATTTGGATCTTCTTCATCTATAAAATAAAATAAAATATTACTTAGCAAAATATATTTTTTAAGTGTTTTTGAGTTTTTAATTCTAATTTTGTCAGAATTGATCGAAACTCCCAAAAAAAAATTGCAATTTTTAAGAGGAAATTGGCCTACTTTAACAAGAAATATGCATGAAGCGCGTGTAATTTGAGATTTTTAGGCACTTTCAAGGGGTGAAAAGGGCATTTATCAAGGGGTGGGGAAAGATTTTCCACAGATGGATATTTTCCCCTTGTCTCCCGGTGGTTACGCCACTGCGGAAAACATCTGGCAGCTTAGATCAAAGGAGCTATGGACACTTTTTGAAGTGAAGCAGGGGTTGCAGGGTTTTGTGAGTCTGGTCATTATGATATCTTCCTTTTTATTCTTGTCTTTATTTTTCTCTTCCCTTTTTCTTTTCGTTTTCCTTTCCTTTTCTTTTAATAATAATAATAATAATAATAGTGTAGTTTTATATAGCGCACATATCCATCTAATGTAAGATGCTCAGGGCGCTTGAAATGTGGACTAGGAACTCGACCAATGACTTTCTTCGCCCCTAAAGGTCCCTTCGTGTCTGTGCTACCCGGTAACCCGGTACCAGCAACTCTCGTCGTCCACCACAGAGGCTGTCTGTTCCAGTACACCGGGGTAACCCCCTACTCGTCTCGAAGGATGTACTGGGTTCTTTAAAATACATCTGTTACTGTATACTCAAGTGTTGTGAACGTAGAATTGCTTAACAGGATTTCTTCTTACCTTTTACGATGACCATGAAAGTACAGCTTTCATTGTTTCCAAACACATCTGTTACTGTATACTTAAGTGTTGTTGTTCCAATAGGAAAAGCTTCTCCTGATTGATTGTAACTTGCACCAGATCCTGTTACTGTGACATCATACAGATCATCTGTATTATCAGTATAGCTGACTGTCCAGTTGATGAAAGAAGTAGGTAGTCCAGCATCTGTTGTTACATTGAAGTCACTTGGACACATTATTTCTGGATTTTCCTCATCTTTAAAACAGATATTAAAGTTGAATTTTATATAATGAATGTTTATAAATTAATAATTTCAATAAAGAATAAAAAAAATAGGTGCATTTATTACAATTTGCCATTTAAAGAAATAGTCTATGGTCTATGTTATGTATTCGCCACGTAATACACAAAGACACATGCACACAATACCAGGTTCTTAACAAATTTATTGAACCCTGGAACTCAACACAGTAACACAGTGTAATTTAACGATGTGCTCACCCTGGAACCTAAACAGCAAGAGATAACAACTACAACTGTGATACTGCTGATACACGTGTTATAACTAAATTTTCACAAAAGCCTGATTATCTGTAATCCGTTCAAATTTGCGCCCCCCACCCACCACACTGGTTAAATTTAGTTACGCCAAAAATGATCGCTAGAGCTTCTCGCTCTATCTGAGCGTAATTTGCCTCCGGACATGTACTAACAATTTGAACACTATATTCAGTCTGGACCATAAGTATTTCACTATTTGTTTGTTTACATTGATCGTGGCGGTATTGATGAACTTTCACAAAATTCATCTTTAATCCTTTACCATCAATAACATGACCCAGCTCTAACGAAGATAACTTAAACACACACTTATCATGATTAGCCTTAATGTTATGCTGGGCCAGTCTACCCAACACTTCATCTAAAATTTCCATGTGGCTAACATCATCGGGACTGCTGATTAGGATGTCATCTAGGTAGCAAATTACACCATCCTAACCTGTTTAACACTTGGTCTATCACATTCTGAATAATCCCAGAGGATGTTGATACCCCCAAAAGGTAACCATTGGTATTGCCACAAACCTTTTCAGTATTAACCATTACAAACAAGCACTGACTCACCCCGTTGTTCACAATGATTGTAAAACTTGAAGCGCTTCGCAATAACAAGCGGTTTAGGAGAAAAATAGTTGTTTTAAAAACCATTAAATTTCAGCACAAGTCAATCCACTTGGCTTCCTTGGCTGTGCCAAGTCTCACAGCAATTGACAGGACAATTGTCCAACCACTGTCAACAATTCCCGTAACTTGTTTTGCAATCGCAATGACATTGGCAATAAAAAACTGCGTGAGGCTCCTCATAGATAACCCAAGGTTCAGTTGTACTATTAAAATGTCCCACCTCTCTGAGACCTAATTTCGCATACATTCCTATGTATCAATGAATGACAAGAAGTAAATGCTAAATACCGCCAGTTCCAAAATTAAAAATGGCATCCAACCCACAACCCAATGTAATCAAAATGAGTCCACTCAGTCAGGTGAAAATCCGAGCTCCCATCCATTTGAAAAGTAGCTTCTTCATGCTCAAAAGTTGCTACCGCCCGTCACCAGTTTTGTATGTATTCGCCACATAATACACAAGACACATAAGACATAATACACAATACTAGGTTCTTAACAACTTCATTGACTCCTAAAACTCAACACAGTAATACAGTGTAATTTAACGATGTGGTAGCCCTAGAACCTAACAGCAAGAGAATAACAACCACCGTGACACAGCACGTCTGCCGATATGCGCATGGTTTACACCTACACGTTAAGACTATAACCATAACAACAATGACTATACGTAGTGCAGTACACTACAGACTGAAAATATTGATGATAATTTTTCTATTTTTAACTAATTATCAGACCAAATACATCTCTTAGTTCATTTTAAAATAGACCTAAGAACAGGCCTGGAAAAAAGTTTATTGTGCCTCCAACCAAGAAGCTAATCTTGCTCAAATGCCTCCAGGACCAAATGTTATCTTTACACTATTATAGCAAAACAGTAGTAAATTTAGTGGTTTGGAGCAAGCAAAAATATTATAATTATGCATTAAATTGCAATGTGCAAAAAAAAGGGGAAAAAAGAAGAGAAAAAAAAATATTTTTCCCCCTAAAATGCCTCCACATTAAAGGTCAATGCCTCTGACTGCTGCATAAGAATCTCACAGTTTATAGTAAACACAGCAATGTAATACATCCAAACTTTCCACTTTGTCAATACACTCTGCAAACCTCAATCTAAAACTCATTTAATCTTGATGCAACTTCCTTTGAGTAAAGAAAAAAAACATTTTTTCAAAAAGGTACTTCATAATTAGGGTCAAACATAGTTTCAAGGTACTTAATGGCCTGAGCTGAGTGCATTCTCTTAAGATTAGATAAGTAAACATTTCTGTAAGCCTACTATCCAAGTCATGGTCCCTGTCAGAAGTCATCAGTCCCCCATCAGACAAATTTACTCTCTTTAGTTTTAAATATCCTGGCCACACCACTGCATTCAATCCTCTAGCTGAATATATAACTTTTCTGGACACATGCATAGAGGTAATTTTGCTATGACTACTGTCTTTATCATTTTAATATAAATTATTACTAATCAACAAATTTCAAAAATAGGAAGTAACTAACACAATAGTTGATAATCATGTGTGACTGTTTTAACCTTACTTCCTGTCATTTTAAGAATATGGCTCTCTAGCGGCCCGGAAATTGCAATCTCATACAATAAAAATGTTTTGCAAGATCTTAGTTTGATAAATGTAAGTTCAACTCAACAGCACGCATCAGCACCACCATGGTAATTTGGTTGTTAAAAGAGTATTTTGCTGTGTTGGCTTTCCATGTGTAAATATAACGATTTATTATGCACCGATGACTCGCCATACTTGGCTTAATTTTTATATAAGAGTGCTGCATGTGAACATCGGTCTCTTCAGTTTTGGCTACTACAGCAACACATGCAACGTTGTCTCATTGCAGCTTATACTGCTCATTGCAGGGTGAGATCAAACTGGAAAGACAGTACGTCATTGAATGAACCTAGCCTTGAATTAGCAGCCTCTTGGGCAAGGAGGTTGTCTGGTCTTAGAAAACAATTGTAGTACAATGGCCGGAATTGCTTCTAAAAATTTAAGCATGTTGGCACTTAATATAATAATGATATGACTGTTGAAATGTGAAATGGTAGCACCACTGATCTTAAGTCATATTGGCATTTTATACTTGTATGCGAAACTGGATGATTGACTCCTGATCCTTTACATTGGGTCCTGACCAACTTGTAACATTGGGTATAGCATGCACTGATCGCAATATACATATTTCATCATAGTATAGTATTCACTGATTAATCCACATTTTGGAATGGAAATTGGGCTGTAAGCGAATTAACCAGCATAGACTGCTGTATAGAATAAGCAAATCAACTCACCATATACTGTTACAGAAAAATAGCAAAAGGCAGCATTGCCAGATGGATCCTCAGCTATACAAGTTACATTCTGGGGTTTAATTGGCCAAATAGCATTAAACTGGTCACCAGACTGTTTTGTACAATTCAAGTTTACAGTGCCTGAATTATCAGTTGCTGATACATTCCAATATACCGTGGAGTAAAATTGGGATGAGTCTGTTAACATCATGCTGATGTCATCAGGGCAATCAAACACTGGGTCTTCATTATCTGTTGTAAAGAAATACAACAAAATCATTACAACTATATATAAGAAAAATAAACTATGTTGATGTTATCAGGGCAATCAAACCTTGGGTCTTCATTATCTGTAAAGAAATAAAACAAGTAATTACAACTGTTTATATAATGAACTATGCCAATGTCATCAGGGCAATCCGACACTGGAACTACATTTCCTGTAAATAATTAAAACAATTAATCACAACTGTAATAATCACCAGATTCTCTATGCAGAGAGCAAACTAACTCATTTATTTTACTCACAGTGTATAATTTGTACAATAGATAAAGTAACTCATGAAGTATTAAATTTCTCTTGCACCTCTGAATTCCAGAAGGTGCAGATATCAAATACTGTACAGTAACTCATCCCTTATCTGACTAGTCTCTCGTACATACTGTACCACACTTTCCACCTCTCACCTCTTCTCGTGGAAAAACCACAAGGAGAAAGAAGGCAGAGCCTGGCCTTTGCATCAGAAGTAGCGCTGGCAGCCATGAGGAAGATTTCATGACAGACTAGCACTTATATAGGGACACCATCATCCAATCAGAAATTACTTCAGGGATGTCTCATTATTTAAACCTATTGCCCAAGCAAAGTCTGGGTCTTCAATATATGTAAAGAAATAAAACAAATAATCTCAACTGTATATAAAAAATAAACTATGTTGATGTCATCAGGGCAATAAAATTCTAGTATTTAATATCTGTTATAAAGAATTAAACCAATAATTACAACATAATAAAACAAACTATGTTGATGTCATCAGGTCAATCGAAGTCTGGGTCTTCAATATCTGTAAGGAAATAAAACTTACAACTGTATATAAAAATAAACTATGTTGATGTCATCAAAGCAATGAAAGTCTTCAATATCAAGAAATAAAACAAATAATTTATTTAAAGAAAATGAACTATGACAATGTCACCAAGGCAATTAAATACTGGGTCTTTGTTAGCTGTTGAATGAAATATTGACATTTGATTAAACATTTTCTCCTTAATTACTTCACAAATTTGGTGTATTTACTGTCATAAAAAGTAATACAAATGCATATTTACATGTGTACTGTACATGCATGCACATCATTATTTAATTATCAGTTAAATACATGAAACAGAATCATGGGATATCTACCAAGTGGTGAAGTCCCCTTCATGGGTTCTCCCTCCTCCAAAACCCCTGTAGGCTTTACTCAATAGTTAGTTTTGCAAGATGACCAGATTTGTTGCACAATTGACACTCTGTTCTTTGCAAGTTTCTTGGCCTTTGTAAATTATATTTCGACTTGCTGATCTTTATAGTAAAGGCAAGCATTGAAGTTGTTTCTTTTATGAAACATGGTAAGCTGCCTTTCAATGGTTCAACCATGTTAACCCGATCACAATTTAAGAATCATGATAACCTACAGTTTGAGGATTTTAAACAAAATGTAGTCGAGTGGAGGCTTGTTAATGCATGAAAAAACTGTAAATACTGTAAGTGCTTTTTGATGTTTGATGACTAATTTCAATTTGATCTTTGGTCATTGTTATAAAAAAATGTATGATTCTAAAAATAGATATTAAATTAATAAAAAAAGACGCAAATAATTTTTGTTTTAATCTCAAGCTTCCAGTATCAGAAATTTCGATCTGACTATTATAATCCTCACAGCTTTTAAATAGTGCTGTAATATATTTGTATGCATTTATTCATTCATTTAAATCGATCATTTTACTTATTATATTTTATAAGTAAAGCTGAGTGGTTGGATGAGAGGTGTTGTTCCTGCTTCTTTTGCTGAAGACCCCAGTTGAAACCTGGCCAGCGTTAGATTTTCACAATAATAATAACCAAACTGAGTACTGTACCTTCAACAGTGACAGTAAACCTGCAGCGATCATTGAAGTTACCACTTGAATCTGATGCATTGTACTGCACTGTTGTGTCACCAATCACAAACATATTTTCACCAGAGGTGTAGTCAGACTCTGGTTCTGGTGTCTCTCCAGAATTATCAGAAGCTGATGGCTCCAACCATGTGACGTTGATAGCAACTGGTTCCCCATTTGTTGTGTTAACTGTTATATCCATTGGACAATCTACAATCTCAGGGTTCTCTTGATCTTTGAAAAAGAAAAATTAAACTAACAATTTCATCTTAGAAATTTATTATTTTAGCCTAACAACAAGCCTAGATAAGCAACAATGTAATCAAATATGGTAAGTTTTTTAAACAAAATATAATAATCCTAAGAAAAAATGGTGTTAGCAGAAATATATTAATAATTTGTGAAACTTGACAGCATGGTAATAATGTGATACATTTTGAATATTTTATGTCATTTTTAATGTATTTATTTGGCTAAAACAGTCAAGGGCTGAATCAGACACATTCCTCCATAACATCCCAAATGGTGCTAGGAGCAACTTCATTTAATTGTTAATATTACCAAGTACTAGTTTAATTGTATACATTCATATTAGATACAGTTACAAGTCCTGGATACTTTGAATGGATTATTTTTTATACATTTTTCAAATAACATAATTTACCCATGTTCCAGCCATGTGTCGTAGTTGCAACTAATTGCTCACTTGTGTTAATTGTTAATCCATTGGACAATTCATAATATCAAGAATTTGTTGATCTTCGAATTAAAATATAAATAATTTAAAATATTATCTAAAGTGCAAATACATATAAATTTAAAACTGAACTGAAAACACATCTTTATAATAAGTGTGCCTTTCAAAAGTATTCAGAGGATTAAAGCGCCTCTAAATAGGGAACTAGATTTTGGCACTATATAAATATTGGATTGGATTGGATAGGAGAAGAATATAAAAGAATATCTATCCATCAAAACTTGACATCAAATCACCCTGACCTTTCATCATCTGCAATCAAGCACTCTTCTCAATCATAATGATGGGGTTCCGAACATGGTTGGCCGAGATTTTAGAATACAGTAAATAAATATATTATCAGGCAATACATAACCGTGTGCACAACTTCGTTTTGATTATTGTGTTAAAAACGCAGAAATATTATGCGAGTAAACAACCTCTCAGTATATGTAATTCAACACTCCCTTTGAATAAAAAATTCCAACCTTTAAACACCTTTAAATGCACTCTAAAGCTCATAATTTTAATTTTTTTGTTTCAATTAGGCAAACCCACCCCGCTCGGGGCCACGTCCCTCGGCTGTCCCTATGCAACATTTATCGTCTTCCATTCGTTTTTCTGGATAAACCCCTGCCTCCCACCCCATATCAATCCTAATAATGAACTAAAAAAGGTACCCATCTTTGATGTTGGATTACATGCACTGGCATCCAGAAATCGCTTGAGTAACAAGGTGTTTTTTGAAGCTACAGTAGGTAACTGAAAAAAATAATTTCAGTTATAAAGCTGGGGGTACATCGGGGATGTTTGTAGCCTGTGGACTGAGACGTTTGGAAATGTAAAATATAAAAAAAATAATGATGAAAGTTCCAAGCCAAGCCAACACCCAAACTGCAGTATGGGGATACGCCCTCATTGCTAACCAGAGATTGATGTAATTAAACCCTGGTCACACACTTTTTTTTTTCTCCCAGCCAAGGGAGCCGAGGCTCCCCACCCCCCACCTTTGTACACAGTGTTAAAATTTTAAAGCTTGTTCGCTTGCTAGCCAATACAAATTCTTTCCAGGGATCACTCAAAATCAATACTTATAAACTATGTAAATATGCATCAGCACACATTACAAAGGCCTACTATAATAACAATTAGGCCTAAGCATGATTTTTGAAAAATCTTAAATCCATAAATCACAGGCCAGGTCTTTTCAGATACAGAAATGTGATATTGTATGTTCAGTTTGGTTTTCATCCTTTTGCAAGCTCTATAAAGTTTTGTTTTAATACTACTGTACAGTACTAAAAGTAGTAATAAAAATTATTATGACGACGATAATGATGATTTTTATTTATTTATTTATTCTTTCTTTATACTGAATATACATTTTCAATACATAGTACTAGTTTCCAAAATTTTAAAAGCAGATATATACACATTGTAACCAAAAAATATTGATAACGTAACTACAAATTAAAAAAGATTTAAAAGGAACAGAGAAAGAAACTTAAGAAAATAACAAATTTAAATAATAAATATGGATATGCAAGAGAAAATCAGGTTAAATTAAGATAGTATTATTGAGGATTTGAAATAGAATGCTTAAAATCTGAAAGTGTCATAGATTTAAAGTTGGTTTTAATATGATCTGGGAGTTTATTCCATAATTTAGTAGATCGGTATACAAAAGTTCTTTTAACTTGCATATTATTCCAGGTGTATTCAATTAGTGTATTTTTACTTTGACTGCGAGTACAATGCGTATACAAACCATAATTAAAAACAAAATTTTTTGATAAATATGATGGAGCATGACCATTTAAACAGTTGAAAATCATTATGAGCAATTGTTCGTCCCATCTATCACTGAGTTTGCTCCACCCTAATGAACTTAAAATATTTACAACTGGGGATTTTATGTCTGCAGAAAGTAAAATTCTTCCTAATCTGTTTAAAAGAATTTGAAGTGAATTAGAAAGTTTAATATTAAAGTTGGACCAAACACAATAACAGTAATCAAAAAGAGGCCTAACTTGAGCGTTAGCCAACATCTTAAGAGTATTATGGGGTAAAAAATATTTAACACGGCGGATAACATCAATGCATTTTGATGTTACCAGTTAATTTTTCAATATGTTCAGACCATGTTAATTTAGAATCAAACACAACTCCCAGATATTTGAATGAATCAACTCTGTCAATAGTCATGCCATTTAAAATAATGAAATATTTGAAAATTTAGGTAAAATTGCATTGGTTCCAAAGATCATAAGTTTAGTTTTCTTAATATTTAATGTAAGTTTATTTTTATCAAACCATTCTGCAACTTTGATTAAATTTGAATTTAGTTCATTTTGGAGAAGAGTGAATGATAATGATGATGATGATGGTGATAATAGATAATAATATTAAAAAGTAAAGAAAATTGTGCTAAAGTTGAACAAGTAATTTGGGATTTGTTGATCATTTTATTAAAGCTTAGTAAGCTATAGTTAGGCAAAGGTGTCCTGGATATTAAGTAGATTCCTGATAAAAGATCATGAGAAGTTTGTTGGCGCTTCATTTTGACTTTATAATGATGATGATGAATTTTACTGTATAAAGTGCTATTTCCGGCCATCTAGAGGTACTATTTCCTCAAATTTCAAAAATCACGGCTTTGAAATATGTAAAGCAAATACTCAAAGACAATGTTTTTACGCTTTATTTTCAATGGTACATCACACTATTATTAAGATCTTTATGGTTGCCAAAATCCCTGATAAAATATCATGAGAAATTTGTTGGCGTTTCATTTTGAGTATATTTAATGTTGATGTGATGATGATGAATTTTACTAAAATTGTCATTTTCTGGTCATCTAGAGGTATTATTTCCTCAAATTTTCGCAACTCAACTGTGTAATAGAAAAGGACTAACTGAGGCTGAATACAAAGAAATTCGTCCAGTATCAACCATGCCTGCCAGAGCTCATAGTCTACCTAAATTACATAAGGATTTTGTAATTTATTATTACTTGCTACTGCTGCTATATAACCGGCCCACGTACACACAGCGTGGCACGGTGCAACGATAATGTAGCTCAATAACAATAATGGCTGCTTTAAAATCTGTACGTAGGCTAGTTTATTCAAGTTTATTTCTCCGAATAATGGTAAATCTACAAATCGAACGCGTACCTATGCTACTAAATTTAGATTTCGTCGTGCATTGTGTGAGGAGACGAAGGAGAGCTGCAACCACGCCTGGGCTGAAACCTATTGAATTTCGCGCTGGGCTGTGGACAAAACATTTTGAAAAACAATTAAGGTTGATTTATCAACGCCTCCGGCTCAATGGTCATTCCATACACGGTATTCTACCCAGCAATTTGGTGGTCAAAATTGTTGCGGATAATCCAGATGGTAAGGTAATTAGACTAGTGTCCGAGCGGTTTTAGAAAGTGTGTGCCGGTGAATTAACTGGTAAATTGCACGGATATTTTTTCGCTCGAACGCTCCCAAATTGATATCTACTAATCTTAAGAAAAATACGTTAAGGAAACTACTTAGGGATTGCTGTACTAAAACTGTATTTACGTGTAATAATGAATTCTATAAACAAACTGACAGCGTTTCAATGGGCTCACCCCTTGGACCAGTTTTAGCCAACATTTTAATGACTGAACTATTGTTCCTAAACTTATAGAATCAGGTATTATTAAGTTTTATACTCGCTTTGTTGACGATACACTAGTGCTAGCTAAACCTAATGATTTTCATCACATCCTACGTCACTTTAACGCTTTTCATAAACAGATTTATTTTACCTTTGAATCATTTGAAAACAGTGATATAGTACATTTTCTGGATTTACAATTTGACAACAGCATAGGAAGCATGGGTATATGTCGTAAAAATACACATACAGGTCAAAATATCCATTATGATAGCTTTGCCCCATGGAAACATAAGATTTCTTGGATTCGTAGTTTAGTTTCAAGAGCCCACAAACTAGAAATTATTAAATTAAAAAATGTGTTCCCTGATTTTTTAACTGCATAATTACAATAAAGATAATAAAACACTTCTAGTGACTGGAAGTGTTTCTATCATTTTTTTTCGCTGTAAAATTATGGTTTTTATGGGTAAGCATTTTTTAAATACACTAATTTCTATGTTCAAGTTGATAATTTTTATGTTACTTCAAAATGGGCAAGTAAATTTCAAAAATGATTTTTATGAATTTTTTTTTTTGTTTTTTGCAAGGGACAGTACATCTTTAAAACTAAATGTACAAACATAAAAGTTAGTTGTAGTAAAACATTTATTAAAATACATAGATAAAATTCTAACATCTTAGCTCCAATCACTACAGAGTAATGGCTTTAGTTATGCTGAAAACAGTACTGGTATATTATGTTATGAGATATTTATATTTTCACATCCCATTAAAACTAAGTTAAAATGGATAAAAGTTAGTTAAAGTAAAGCATCCTTTTAAATGGCCTTGTCAAAAACACATTTAACTTGTGATCAAGTTTTCCTTTTTCAAATAAAGTCATTATTATTATTATCCTTATTATTATCATTATTATTATTATTATTATTACTATTATTACTATTATTATTATGAGTACTGGCAGGCCAGAACACACATGACCACAAAGGTTTCTGAACAACCTTGGCGGCCTGAGTAGTAAGCTAAAGCCTAGGCTCTATCTAGAGAGCCTTCATCATCGCACACAGTTGCAACTTGTAGTTGTATCGTTATCAAGGTAAATTGTTAATTGTATACCACGGAATACCACATATACTAGAAAAATGTATTTACGATTATATTTGAGCATAATCAAAGATACTAGAAATACAAGATTTCTCCACACAAAAAAGTGTTCCACATTCCACAACTGTTCATGTTGTTGAATCGAGACATGCTTCAGGTACTAATACATTTTTCTCTTTTTCTTTTTTATTTTATCAATTGTAAAACATACCATATAATTATGACAAGAACTTTTTAATGATGCAATGGCAAATATATACTTTTATAATGTATAAATATTTCCTTTTTTTAAATATTTAATTAATTTGTATTTTAAAGGTTTATGCATTGTATTTTTCCATTTTTTGATGTTTACTAATTTTCTAATTGTAATTTTTTTGTATGAGTGTATTTCATGTCTTTTTCATTTTTCTTGAATGCTTGTACTGTACTACAATAATTTCAGACTTTTTCTGCTTTTTGTATTTTATCATAGCTGAATAAATAAAAAATAAAATAATACAACCTGCCCTAGTATATATTCTTAGAGGTGTTATGAATTGTGTTTAACAAAATAATTTAGACCTACAATAAATTATTTACATGTAACATATATGACCATAAATTAGTATTAGCCTACCTTCAATTTGTATTGTGACATAACACGTGGCTTCATTTCCTGTAGGCGATCCATTGTCAGTGAAGATGTATTCAACTGTAGTTTCTCCAATTGGAAATACACCAGTAGTGACAGTAACATCATAAGCTGCATCAATTGTCATGCTATCTGGATCGATGTCTGTATAGTTGGTTGAGAACATGGCAACTTGAACATTATCAGTGACAGTAAGGTTGTAGATGATGGTGCCATTTGGTTTTCCCTCATCAGTCACACCAGTAACTAGTGATGGACAACTTGGAACAGGTAGTTCTTTGTCTGGAAAAAAAAATATTATACGTACTTGACATTAATAACTGTTAATAATTGAATAATAATAATTAAAAATAATTAAAAAATCATCATTATCATAATAATAATATTAAATATAATAATAATAATAATAATAAAATAATAATAATAATAATAATAATAATAGTGCACTTGTGCATAATGAACTAGAAAGCTTTTGTGCTCTTCACATCATAAATTAAATAAATGAAGCCCAACATGATGGCGTGTATTTCAATACTTAAAGTATGTATTATACTTTCTTATCTGAGATAAATCAGTGGACCTTTCGGTTTTTAAAATAATTAAAATACTAAAAAAACAAATGCATATAAACAAAGCAGAATAAAAATTATGAAGTATGACACAACAAAATGAATACTTGCCGAGGTGGCTCGAGCAAAGGAATGGAATACACATTTACCGTACCTTACCACAGGCAAACTGTTCCTCAGGGATTGAATGTTGTGAAGATACCTTTATAGGAAGTTTTTGAAAATGGGTCGGGTAATTAATGTTGTTGATAGAGATATGGTGGAGTCTACATAATATGCAGACCATGACTCATAAATCATGACACCAACCCTTTTAAAGGCCAGCTTTACGTTCAAATTTACACTTCTAGATCTTAACATAAACACAGTATATTTGGATTTTGTGTACAATATACAAACATTCATTAATTACTTGCACAGTAATCAATTGTAAATGAAAAATCGTAACCTTCTTAAAAGTCATTGAAATGATATGAAATATACAAAATGTAAAGGCAAAACGTGAATAAAATGTAAGTAGATTGAAAATTATACAGAAAAAGCAGAAGAATAAAAAATATAAAATTGTGATGCTATATCCATATTCGAACCAGGGACCACAAGCATGCTTAACTTACCCACAAGTAATATATCACCATATTAACGACTAATAACATTCTACTGCCTGTGGACGACCTTATAACACTAAACTATAACACATGTTATTGCGCTATAAGAGACAAGCTTATAATTATAACCTTAATAAAAAATCAATGGAATGGTAGAAAATTATGAAATTTCAAGCTAAAATATGAGGGCACACTTATGATAACCCATACTCAACCTGTTAACCATAACCTACTTTAATTTTGGAGAAAATAAAGCAAAAGAGCAAGTGAGATAGAACATCATCATGTACGGTACTTCCATGGCAATTTCGATGAATTGAATATTTTAAATATGACACATAGATTTGACCCTTGATATGAAGTATGTGTCAAATCTCATTGAAAAATGCCTGTTGGTGAGGGATTTATGATCATTCATAGAATTTGTCAAGGATTTAAAGGAAAAAAAATGAGGGGTCAGAAAAAAAAATCGTAGATTTGATGCGTGCTTACGGCATCCTTTTTGACCCTAAAATGACTGAAAAAGAATAGAAATTTGTGAATACAGTGTGGGGAACCCAAAATATGTAACAAAACGTAATTCTGCAACTGAAAATCCAGTTTGCCGCCCTCTCTAGGCTCGTCAAAGATTTAAAGAAGAAGTAAGATGACATCATCAAAGTGAAAAATGAATGACACTTTGTGAAAGAAAATTGTCGCTATAACATGCTCAAAGGTGGGAGTTGATTGATCAAGGATAATCGAAATATCGGTAAGTTCAAATAAGTATAAAAATAATGATGTCATAAATAAAAATTAAGTTTTTTTGTAATGAGATGGCAATATTATGATGTCAAAAGATTTATGCATGCATACGCGCACATCATTACGTGTGTGCGCACGGTAATGGCACAAAAAGTTTACTCCTGATATGAATAGTGTCAGGAACCCAAAATATGTAACAAAACGTAATTTCCAGCTTCAGTATGTACTGTTATGGAAAGATTTGGAATGCTGAAAATGACCTCAAATCTGCTTTAAATTATCTGAAAGTGATATTGAAAATGTTCAAATTTTAACGCAGGTGTACGTGCTCGTGAGAGTAATGGCACACAAAATTGAACCTTGTCAAGTGTAATTCAAAAACGCCTGTTGGTTGGTAATGCCACACAAATTTTCCCTTCATATGAACTATATATCATTCTGATACCGTCGAAATGCAGTTTGCCGCACTCTGTCATGAATATTTCACAGATTTGAAGAAAGAGAGATGAGAGGGTCCAAAAAATCACTGATTTTGACCATGATGATGTCATCAAAATGAAAAATGAAGGGACACTCCCGAAAGAGAATTGTCTCAGCTATAACTTACAGGGGGGAGAGACGATCGATCAAGAATAAGTGAGATACGTTCAAATGAGTATAAAAATATTGACGTCATAAATAAAAATCCAGTTTTTTTTAATTCAGATGGCAATATGATGACGTCACAATGTCTGATCAGCCATAATAATCTATAAAATCATATCTACAACTCATGTGCTTTCAGAATATGTAATAAAATTTGGGGGTCACCTTGCATCCTAAGGAGCTATAACCGACTAAAAATAGGCATGATTTTAGGCATATATGAATTCTGACACACGTGTACATGCATGTTAAAATGCACAAACGGAAAATTAAGGTACATGACATTCAACCTTGACCTGAAATTTGTATGTCCACTGAATATGATTGGTTAAGATGACATGGGGTCATCAAAGTTTTGAGGAAAGGAAGATGAGTGGGGTCAGAAAAAACATTTATTTTGACAATGATGACATCATTAAAATGTAAAAAGAAGTCATATGAAAGAGAATTGTCTCAGCTATAACATACTCAAAGTTGGGAGACGATCAATCAAGTATAAGCGAAATACGCTCAAAGGCATATTTTCAAAACTGATGTCAAAGATAAAATTCAGTTGTTTTTAATTCAGATGGCAATATGATGACGTTACAGATGACTGAAAAGAATGAAAATTTGTGAAAACAATGTCAGGAACCCAAAATATGTCAAAAAACGTAATTTCTAGCTTCCGTACGTGCTGCGCAAGTAAAAATGAATAATGAAAAAATATAGATGAAAGGATGCATCCCTGCAGTGCTCCAGTATTGATTGTTCATTACATCTGATTTTCTATTGTTAACATAAAATGTGGTCTGTCCCTGAGGAAATTTAAGATCCATAATAAGAGTTCAGCATTTACGTTCATATCTAGCAGTTTCATTATAAGTAGATAAGGCTGAATTGTGTTAAAAGCCTAGAAAAATCTATAAAAGTTGTCTGCACAAATGTTTTTGGTGTTTCTAAGTGTTTGAGTATCTTATCTAAGTATACTAGTACAGCATCTTCGACTCCCCCTTTTAGATCTATAGGCAAATTGCATTGGATCAATTAAAACACTAGCTTCACTTAACAGCAATTTTGAAACAATATGTTCTAAACACTTTATTACGTGGAAGTTAAGGCCACTGGTCTGAAGTCATTTTTAGTTGCAATTTTACTTGTTTTTGACACTGGTATTATTCCTGATGTTTTCCATATAATTGGGATGGTTCCAATGTCAATAGTTTTCTCCAAACACAGGAGAACATTGGTTGCTTATGCCATCTGGACCAGTGGCCTTGTTCACCTTAACATTTACATGTTTTTATTTGTTTCTTAATTTGTTTTGCTTTTAAGCAATTTCGGTGTTTCTTCCTTAAAAAAAAGCATTATTTTTCTTTTTTAATAACATTTTCAACTTGTTGGTATAATACAGTCTACAGAAAAATTTAATGTATTCATTGATCGCTGTCACAATTACATTAACATCTTCATCGTAGAACACATGCCAGTTCGTGCTTTCAAAACTGCCACGCGGTTATTCCACTTACTCATCGTTCCATATACGGTGTTCCTTGTTTCCTTTGTTTTAGTTGCCTACGGTATCTAGGCAACATGCATATAGTGTTATGGTCTGATGCACCGAGTGGTGAACACAACTTAACAATGTAATCATACGTAACATTTCCATAAAATTTGTCCAGAATTTTCTTTTCTCCATTGGCTTTATTTACATACTGTTTATAGTTTGGATATTTCAAGGAACAGTGATTAAAATCACCCATTATTAGTTTACCTGAGTCAGGTGGCAACGTTTCTAGCTGACGAATTCGGCTTGACAAAATGTCATTTGCAGTTTCAGCATTAGCTTTTTGGTGTATGTAAACAACAGTTACAAATATCTGACTAAACACTCTTGGTAGGCAGAAAGGCCTCAGGCAAACAGTATTGAACTATACATCTTCAAAACACAATCGTTCTTTTACCGACCAATTATTGCACCATGTATTTTTTATGTATATGCAAACTCCTCCGGCTCTTGTTTTTCCCGATTCCAGCGTTCGATCACCCCTTACTAATGTGAAATTGTGAAGTTCTACGGAACTATCAGGTACGGTATCATTGAGCCAGGTTTTGCTAATACTAATGATATAAGCTTCTCTGTATTCATAGAGATACCTAAAAGATTCGTTGAGTTCATCCATTTTGTTATATAATGATCATACATTACCTAGTAGGCTACTACGGTTGGCAAGGGTGTTTTATTTTTTTTGTTTCCTCATTCTCACTCGAACTCCTTCTTTCTTGCTTCGTTTCCTCCGTTTGATTTCGAGTGGAAAATTGTTGTGATCGACCGGTTTCCCACTGAACTGTCTGAGGTCCAACAGCTTTTTACGATCATATGTGAGGCTGGGCATTGGTTTGAAAAACATTGATTGAAAAACATCCATAAAAGCGTGACAGCAGTAAAATAATGACAAGATACATAAATATATAACACTTGATTACTTTCAGCATGGAGGTATTATAGTGAACTATAATACCTCCATGCTTTCAGACACATCATGACAGCACAACAATGAATTAGAACGTTAAAAAGCGACATTAAAACCAAATCCAAGATAAGCAAATTGCCAAAGAGTGTTCGCCACAGTGCAGCACCCTCAATATAATATCCAATATTAATATAGAGCCATATAAGTATGGCTGTAGGTTGAGGCGCCCCTGCACTAACCGCTCGGCCACTAACTCGTCTGAT